AACTGCGAAATAGAAGCACCTTCTCACCAATCAAAGAACCGAGAGCCGCCGCATGGAGGTCCCGCTCCCCTCGAGGGTCACCCAGCCCCGAGCGGGACCCGCACTAAGTTTCGCACCCGGCCCCCCGCAGCCGTCGCCTTTCGCGGCGCTCGTTTCGCCGCCGCCCGCCCGGCGGAGCATCCCCGCGTCCCCCCCACGCCCGCTCCTCCCGGGGGCCCCGGGGCCGCGCCCCCGCCCGCGGTACCTGTTGCCGCCGAGGGAGGGAAAGGGAGGAGGTGGAGGAGGAGGAAAGAGGAGGGAGGGAGGGCGGGCGGAGCGGCGCGGGGCGGCCCCCCGGCCCCTGCCCGCCCGCCCGAGGCGCGCCGCGCCGCCCGGTGTCACGGCGCGGCACCCGGGAGGGGACGGGAAAAGGTGCCAAGTCCTTTAAAAACATGTCACATGCCCGCAAGTTCAAGTTTACGTCCCGGCGCCGCGCGCTCCCATTGGCCAAGCGGCGCGCGGCGGGGGCCAGGCCGGCGCCCCATTGGCCGAGCGGCGCCGTCACTCAGCCGCCGGGCGACATGACTGATACAAAGTTGCTGCGACACAGGCGGCAGCCGCAGCTCCTTAAAGCCGCAGGGCGCCGCGCCCCGGGACGGCGCGGGGCCGGGCCGGGCCGCGGGGGGCGGCGTGGGGTAGCGGGGGGGAGGCGGGACGTGCGTTCGCCCGGGGTTCGGGGACCATGGCGGGGCGGAGGAGCCGAGCGTCATCCCCGCGCCGGCCCTGGTTTTCCGCGTTTCGGCGGCGTGTGGATCCGAGCGCCGCCGGTGCAAGGATGGGTTAAAAAAAAAATAAAATAAAATGATAAAGAAATAAATAAAAAACGGGGAAGAGGGGAAAAAAATAATTAAAAAAAAGCGGCGGTGGCGGCAGAGCGCGCCGAGCCTCAAGGACTCGTCCTCTGCTCGCCGCTGCCGCGCGCATCCCGCCCGGCGCTGCTTTTTCCCAGGGAGACGCGAGGAGAGCAAAGTTTGAGCCCCGCGCTGCCCCCCGCCCCGCGTCCGACGTCCCCCATCCGTCCTTCCCCAGCTCCCGCCGCCCCCCGCCCCGCGTCCCGCCCGGGAGAGGCCGTCGGGGCGCCGCGCACCTCCCGTCCGCAGCCGCGTCCTCCGCGCTGCGCCCATCCGCGCGCGCTGCCCCGAGCCGCCGCCGTCGCACGGCCGCGTCCCTCCTCGCCGCGAAGTTTTCGGGCTGCGGCCGTGACCTGGATACCGCGCGGGGTCCGCGCTGCACTCACCTCTCTACGACATGGTGGTGGTGGTGGCGGCGGCGGCGGCAGGAGGAGGCGCGGCCCCCGGCTGCTGCCAGCGAACCATCCGACAGCGAGCGCGCACCGGCTCCGGGAGGGGAGAAAAAAAAAAATAGAGGGGATTTGGGGGTGCGCGGCGGAGCGGGCGCGGAGGGGCTGCGGCGCGGCGGGCGGACAGCTCCCACCATGGACGCCTGAGGT